CACCACTTTTCGGATACAATTGGGAGAATAAGATGATATGGGGTGTCTGGGAAAATGATAAAATTGTAGGATTGAAAATTTTTTGGATGAGCAATGGAGATGAGCAATGATTGTAGGAGAAGATTGGGAAGAGAATGATGTGGAGCTGATTTTTGGGTTACTGCAGATTTTTAGTTTTTGGGTTACTGTAGTTTTTTGGAAACTTGAAATTTTTTGAAAAAAAAATTTTCAAATTCTCAGATTTCTGGAACAAAAATTGCTCAGATCAAAACTCAGATTTTCTAAAAGTTTGCAAATTTCAGAAAAAAAATCATTTTGGGAATAAAAAACATGTTAATCACTTCCTAGATTTTTTTGTAGTTTGTAGTTAAGGATTATGAAATTGGAAAATATTTGGGTCAACTTTTCATGATTTTTTAGTAAAATTTTTCAGTAAAAGTCAAAAACTGCCTCAAAATCACCGGAAACGATTTTCGGGCCAAATTTCTTAGTTTTCAGTCATTTTTCATGATTTTTGGGACATTTTTCATGATTTTTGGTCTATTTTTCATGATTTTTGAATCATTTTTCATGATTTTTGGGTCATTTCTCATGATTTTTGGGTCATTTTTAATGATTTTTGAATTGATTTTTCATAATTTTTGTGCCAATTTTCATGGTTTTTGGACCAATGTTCATGATTTTTGAATCATTTTTCATGATTTTCAAGTAAAATTTCCAAAAATTTGCCAAAAATGTCCTTAAAACCACTAAAAGAATTATTGAAATTTTGATTTTCGAATTGATTTTTCATGATTTTTCATTCGATTTTGATTATTTTTTGAGTCATTTTCTCATAATTTCTAAGTAATTTTCACTGATTTTCCACTGATTTTTAGGATCTTCCTTACATTTTTCATGATCATTGAGGTTCGACATTTTTTTCTGATGAACAATAATATTGCTCATCTCAACGAACAGACGTAGTTGTCTGTATCCTGTTTTGAAGTCTACGTAGCTCTCTTCCTACAGTACCTACAAAAATGAAAAAATGTATTTTTTGTATTTTTTTTCTTTCGATTCTCTAAGTCTCTCCACCTCGCTGTCTCTGATTTTTTGCGGAAATTGTATACAGGAAATAATGAGAATTTGGAGAACCATAGGTAGGCAACACAACGATTTTTTCAAACTCATTTTTCCTGAGAATTGTTTATATTATCGTATTCACCATATCAATATTAGTATAATTCCGAATTTTTTTTCGAAAATGTTCATCCGTTCTCGAGATACACCCTTTTTTGTAACCCCCTTTTTCATCCATTTTCTCTGAGGGGGTTGCAGTGGGCACGGAAAAGTGGGCGGGGCAAGGTGGGCGGGGCGACGCCTTTTGCAAACGTGCGGCGCAGAAAATTCCCGATTTATTGCTGTGATGTTTTTCATAGCGCTGTGAAGAGTTTCAATTGGTTTTCGTCAGCCGGCATGTCGAAATATAGTAAAATGGAGATGTAAAAAAACAGAATGAGTTTGAGAAACAATTTTTATTACGACTATGATTAAATTTTACTGAGTTTCAGGTAGAAAACACGGAAATCAGTGAAGTATCGAGCGATGCGAGCGATCAGAAGCAGAGAAGAACGATCGATGATGGCATTCGTGTTTTATAAATTGAAATTTTGTTTAAAAAATTATAGACTCTGGATTTTTGAGAAACAGATGATTCAAAAAATATGCGAATGCCATTGAAACTTCGATTGTTCGCATCGCTCGTCACTTTTCTACCTGAAAATCACCAGAAAACAAAGAACTACAAAACAAACTACTGAACTAACGAAGGAAAGGAATCAGAAACTAATAATAAAAAGAAGAAATCAAGAAAATTGGAATGTTCCGTCATCGATCGACTTCTGAAAATGATCGAAGTCGATATGTATCGGTTTTCTCTCGCCCTCGTACTGAACCGCTGCCGTCGTTTTTCCTTTCGAAATACGAAAATCGATAACGAATGCATGTTTTCCCGATGAAGCATTAAAGAACTTTTTTCCGATTCGATCGTCGTCTTTGAGCAGAAGTTGACGAGCGTACTGGTGGCTTCCAATCAAACCCTCCAGTTTCTTCACGAGCTCATCGACTCTGGAAAATTTAATTGGAAATGAGTCCGAAATAGTATTCTTACCTGTTTTCGATACTTTCGGAGGTGGTTCAACGTCACTTCCGCTATCCATTATAGATTAGAGGTATAATTATATGTTCAAAAACAATTAATTTAAAAAAAATCAATAATTTACTGTAAGTCGTAAGAACATTGGTTTTCAGTGCATACACCGTTACGTAAAGTTGCACAAAGTTTGGAAAACCACTGAAAAAAGACTTTTGATACAGCAAGGAATCGAACCATGGCCGGTGGCGCGCCGTCCCGAAACACTACCCACTACTCCATGCGCGCGCTGACAGTTGGCGTATTGAAAGGCTGATATGAAGCACGCGCTGCCTCTCTTTTCTAAACAACGATTTGAACACATTTTATTCACATTTTTAGGTGGAAATTGAGATATTAAAAAAATGGGGGAACAGGTAGAAGTAAACTCGAACATGTATATTGTAGCAAATTTTTCGTAGAATCTGAATATGTAATAAAAATCTGCGACATCGACCTGCATTACCGTCAAAATTCGCAAAAACGTCTAAATTTTAGAACCATGTCATCTTTGGATGCGTTTTTTGCTAGCTCGAACTTTTTCAAATGTCATCAAATTGCATATCTGAACAGTCATAGAATTGATCTAAGTATTTTGATATTAAAAACATGGGGTCATCGCTAAAAAAAATTCACAATTTTTGCTTGAAGTTTGATGGATTACTGCAAAAATGGGGGAACTGCTGGCTAAATATGGCTTAATGCATCTTATTCACCATCTAAAAAAGTATTTAGAACAATCATAAAAAGAAGCGACATCGACTTTTATTACACTTTTCAGACCAAATTTCTCATGTCGATTTCTGTTTTTCACGAGTATTTTGAAAGTCGTTGGTTTTCAACGCAAACGCTTTACATCAGTCGATTCTACGTGTTTTTTTACATAACGAGACCAAATTTCAATAAAATCGGTCCATCCAGTCTCGAGTTCTACGCCTTCAAACATGCCAGATACCCCCCCAAGAGAAAAAAAATTAGGCTCCGCCCCCTCGCGTTGCGGTGCCTAACCATAGGAAATTGAAAAAGTATTTTTTGTGTGTTTTTTTTTCGATTTTTGAGGGAAAAAAAGATTTTTTGGAAAACAAAAAAAACTATGAGAACTGAAAATTCCAGATTTTCT